CTTCGCACACAACCATATCACAACGACTTTTCTCCCAGCAGCGGGCGTCCTACGAGCCCGGTGCGTAGTAGTAGTAGTAGTAGTAGTAGTAGTAGTAGTAGTAGTAGTAGTAGTTAGTAGTAGTTAGTAGTAGTTAGCAGTAGTTAGTAGTGGAAGCAACGGCGGTCGTGGTGGTGGTAGTGGTGGTAATAGTAGTAGTAGTGGTAGTCGCAGTCCCAGTCCCAGCCGAGCAGCAGAACGAGGAGTAGTGGCAGTGGTAGGAGCAAAAGCAAGTTGACGAGCAGGAGAAGTAGCAGTAGCCGTAACATTAGCGGTAGCAGTGGAAGAAGTGGACGTGGCATCGCGGCTGGCGGTGGTGCAGGACATGGCGGTGATGGTGGTGGTGGTGGTGGTGGTGGTGGGATATTGATAATAGTGGTGGCGATGATGGCGCTTCTGGCCTTCGCAGTTGGGGAGTGGCTTAGGCTTCAGTAGGCGTGAGCAGTGCGAAACAAACCAGACCGGCCTGCAATTCCTCTCCGACCGTATCCCAAGCCGCAAACCCTAGCCCCAAGACCGACCCCTTTGCCCCTGAATCCAAGTCGCATATCTCTGAATCCAAGCCCGAAACAGGCAATACCACTATTAATAAAGGAATCCTTGCCTTGACCCCGTGATAGACCCCTGTCTCTAATCCCTGTAGCACACTGCAATGGACAAAGAAGGAATGCACCTCCTTTAAAAAAATATATGGGGCTGGCTTTCTCTGAGCCCCCGTCCTTCAAAACTCCCTCACAGAACTCTTCCACGCCGATGGTGCCACCACCATCGTAGTCGAGAAGGTGGAAGAGCTCCCTGGTTGAGTGTCGGAGTGTCGGATTTCGGGTTTAGGATTACGGATCTAGGGTTCATCAGTGCTACAAGAAATGGGTTTAGGGGGCTTCGGGCTCAGGATTATGGTATGGACAGAGGACAACAAGACGTGCAATAAAAGAGCAGCTAGATCGTATGTAGCGTCGAGGGTTGATGCTTCAGAACTTCGGAGAGCTGGCATCGGGTGTTCAAATCCCTGCTCGTGTTGAACTCGTCGGCTTCCGGGGCGCTGGACTGCGGAGTTTCGTGCTCTTAGGAAGCGTTATAGAGCTTGCTCTCATGGGCTTGTGTAGTATTCCGTGGTGGAAAACATGATTGGACGCCAATAGTAAGGCCGGTACAGCGGAGAGCCCCCAACCCTAAAACCTGATCTTCAGGACCCCCCTCCCCCGACATCAGCAACGCGAGAAATGAACAGATGCGATTTAGGGTTCAGGGTAGTTTGAGTGCACACTGTACATATAGGGCATTATGTGCATCGGCATTACGGTTTAGGGTCGAGAAGAGAACTAGATAGCTGACGGGGACCTCGGGTTCAGAAGAAGCCCAGATGTCCCACGCCCATTTCGGTCCTTTCTGCATCTGAAAGCCACACAAGATTTTCATAAACAAAGGAGACCGCTGTAGACTTCAGTAATCAGTCGAAATCACAAAGGCCCCCACGCAAACGAAGCCAAGTGTCGTCAGATCGCCGCCTCCACCAACGATCTCCTGCGTCCCGCAGAGCACAACGACCCAGACTCGAGGATTGCAGCTTACAGTGCGCACGCTGGGTCGTTCGTGTTGGGTTTTCTGACTCAGAAAAGAAACCTGAAACTTACTCACTAAACCCCCCAGCCCCTACAAACGTTATGACCAAATCTACACAACCCTATAGCGCCCCGAAAGAATCCTCTGCAGACAGTCTTCACTCAATCCCCCCTCCTCCAAAACCCCATTACAACCGTATAAGACCTATGCCACCTCTTCAGAAATAGCCCGAAACCCAGAGAAATCAGAGGCTCCCCCAGCTCGTGCTGCACCGCTTCGGGAGCACCAAGCAACTCCTCGGCTTCCGGCTCCACTGGAGGATTTGAGGGGGCCCCCCTTTTGGGCTGGTGGAAGTTCTATAAACGTTCCATGCGGCTCCAGAGGGAGGGGATGACACAACTGCTTCTGTGTGACCGTTATGCATGAGAACTCTGGAACCCAATCCCCAAACAGTCTAATGCACCATAAGAAGACAGAAACATCTAGCTATAGATAGATAACCTGCCCTAAACTCAAGACTCAAAGCCCCACGCCCTGTCTGCAGCCCCCGTGGCTTTGGCAAGCTGCATATGCAGAATTTCAATGACAGGGGAACCAGGCATAAAGGAAAGGCAGGCCTATACGATTGGAATACGCAAGAAGAGAAAGGATGTGTCGTTGCGGCGTTCAGAACTTAAGGAACTAGCTGCTTTGAGATGGAAGCGAGGACCTCCAGAGCCAAGGCAGCGCACGGTTAGGTTCATCTTGGGGTGGGAGCCTTCAGTACTTACTGCTCTTGGAGCCTGGAAATGCATCCCAGCTCCGCCAAAAGCTCAAAAGAAGAATGATATTGTCGGTATGCCCCGAGCCTCATAACCCGCTGACACTGAAACTTCCAGAGCCAAGCCTTACACATCTAAGCCCTGAGCCGGAAGGCCCGAAACCCACGAGGCCCCCAACTGTGAAGCTCAAGCAAGGGGGCATCTAAGCTGAGCTCTCCAGATCCATCTTCATCGAGCTCTAAGAACCTCGGAGGCACGCAATGCGGAAAGGAGGCTCAGGGGCTGGGAATTTGGGATTTATCGGCTTAGGGTTTAGGGTTTGTATGGCTTCAAGTGTTTGGATGAGGGTTCAAGGGTTTGGGGTTATGTGCCCCTGACCGTATGTAAGATCCTGGAGATGTAAGGACCTTTTCCGTACAGATGCTGTTCTGACTCCTGGAAGCTTGAACCACAAAGCCTGAATCCAAGAGCACTGCGCAGCGGTGGCAGTCCGTAAGTCAGAATGAACATGCTGAACGACATGGGAGTCTCAACAAATTCAACATAGCCAGATAAGTGTCATTTCGGCACGGGCCTTCATATTTAGGCGATATTAATCAGGTCCCCTATATTCCCTGTATGCCGAGGTACCCTGAAAACCTGAAACCCAAAGCCCTCTGACTCTAACCAGAGAAAGGCATGCCACATCTCCTTCAGCTTCTCCATCTGCTTAGCTCTCTTGGCTGCCTCCCAGGCTTTTTTTGCCTCTTTGTCTTCACTGGCCTGCGGCCGCAGAGAGGACTCGGGGTTGCGAGGTTTCAGTTCTTCTCGAGGAACCGGTGAACCCCAGATACTTGGAACCACAGGTGGCTGATGCTCAGATTGCTTCTACTTGGCATTGAAGTTGCGCTGTTCGTGCTTCTGCATAAACTTAAACCCGTAGAGGCTCCAACTCGAAACCCCAAGTACCCAGCACCCTGAGCCCGTAACTTTGTTCCGATAGTAAGTACCCAGCACCCTGAGCCCGTAACTTTGTTCCGATAGTAACCAAACATGATCACAAGAATCAAAGGAACTACAACCACACCCCTACTAAATGAGCCACTTGCTGTTGACCACCAGAGCAGCACGTCGAAATGCTTAATGCAGGGACCTTAAGCCTTAATAATTGGAATAGGGTTTGCGGGTATATTATGCTATAATTATAGAAATTATTGACTGGTATCTATTTATGTCCTTATGTTAGGATTTCTTGCCTGCTTGACGGGCTTAGGGAGATGCGGGGGGCTCGGAGCACCAAGCGGAGGTCGAGGGTGAAGAGGATTGAACAATGTCCCATCCTATAGTCCCAATACCATGCGTAACACAAGCCTACTCTGAATAACTGGCGACCTTGCATTATTGAAACAAGAGGCTTCAAAGCTCTAAATCGTGATCATCCGAGTCTCCAACCTTTTCTCTCTTCACAGAAACTGAGCACCAAAGGTGAAAGAACTCCACACATTACGTAGCCCTGATAGCAAGCCCCGCAAAAGGCTGCAAAGACCTGTGCTCAGAAGAGTGCACGAGAAAGCCACGAACCCCCACATCAACTGGCCTGGTCTAGGGAGGAGTTGACCATCACTGCCGTGACCTTGCAACCGATGAGCTTCCAGGGTAAGGCTTCAAGTGTGCAGATGTAGGGACGAGGGCTTTGGGATGAGTGCGGTTAATCTAGGGGCCTAAATAATTACCAATACTATTTTGGGGCTCCTTATTATACCCCAAAACCCTATTCTAATTATTCAAGGCCCTCTATTGGGGGTTCTGATGCGGGGCTCAAGGCTTTAGGTCTAGCTTAGGGGTGCGGTCTTGGAGTGCTTAGGGAACGGCTGTGAAGGAAATTTCTGCCCAAAGGCTGAAGAAAAAAGTCCTGCTCCCAACGATGCACGCCCTGGAAGGATTCTGACGGAACAGACATGACGAAGAAACGCCTCACCTGAACAATCTCGTATTGGGGATCCTCAAACTAGGGCCCATGAAACCCGAAGGTTTTGTTAGGGGCCTGCACTCTACATGCCAAACTAAATTTAAGGAACTCTCAGTCCAGAACAAACAACCTGCTCTGAAGACATATCGTGCTGGAACCCCACACGGCGTGAATAAAAGGACTCACGGCCCTAAAACCGCTGAAGCCCTCAGCCCTGCAATCAATAATCCTCCTTGAAACCTCCAAACCCTCAAAACACACTGAACACCTGAAACCATCTTGAGGCTCAAGCCAGATTCATCAACGCAATGGAGAGAATCAGCAAGGCCAGGAAGAAGTAGATCTGTGAGGGAAGTTCGACTGCAAGGCCGCAAGGGTTTAGGCCACTGGATTCTCGAGGTTAACTTGAAGGTCGAACGTGGAGAAACAATAGACCTCCCAAAACGTCCAAGAGCCGTGCATCTGGGGTCATTGCACGAAAACCTCGGGACGGAAGCCTCCTAGACCCTAAACCCTAAACCCTGAAACGTCTCTACGGATACAAAGCTCGGGCAGAAGGCAAGGCGTGGGTCCTCAAAAAAAATAAGAAACCTCACCGGATTTAAGTTTTAGGGTTTTAGGGTTTACGAAAGCCAAGAAAGAGACTGCAGCCTGAAGTGCTGAGCCATGGAGGACTGCAACCAAGTGGCGAAACAGATGGTGTTCTGCTTGATCAGCGGTCGGTAGATGGATCCAATGCTATCCATACCTGGTACTCTGAACCGTAAACCCTATTTATGTTTCTCGGGTAGGCGCTTATTTTTGTGACCGTGCTCCACAGCAACTTGCAGTCACCGATCAAGCTACGAGCACCTAGCGCAGTCGTACTCCATAGTTGCGCTACTACTACATATAAACTTATGTCTATTTACCTTCTGTCTATCTGCCTGCAGTGACCGAGAGAGGGAGAGAGAGAGAGAGAGAGAGAGATAGAAAGATAGAGGGAGGGAGCCCACAACAACAGAGGCTTTCTGCTGCGGACCCTTTGACCGGGGCCAGAAAGGTGAAGTCTGGCTTCAAGGACGCGGGGAGGGCTTCAGGATGCTGTGGCTTACTGTAAAGTCCTTGCAGATTCCCGAAGCCCAAAACCCCCAAACCCTAATGGAACAAACAGAAGAGCAAGGAAAAAGAGAGCCCTGCCAGTCGCAGGAGAGCTGCTGAACACCTGCAGGAGTGTCCTGAGGGCTCGGGGTGTTCGACAGTGTTCTGAGACCGGCGGTGTCATAGCATTCTGGCCATCGACAGGTGAGGAAATGGACCCTGATCAGAATAAGGGTTCAGCTTTAGGCTTCTGGCTCGCGTTTATGGTCTGTAGCATAGAAGCCATGCAATTCGACTCGGGTTTCGGGGGTTTGTTTCCCCGTATGAGGGAAGCCCAAAAGACTCCCCTGAGTTGGCCTGACAGTTGGACAATCGAGAGACAGAAGGAACCCCGTAAGTAGCAGTCCTGAAAAATACCTGTATGAAGCTAGTAGGAAGTTAGTCGTAAACGCTAGTTCGTAGTATCGTCTTCTGCGGCGTGCCTGGCCCGAAGTGAAAGTTGTCTTTCAGCGCTGAGGACCGGGTTCAGGGTGTATGGATTGAGGTTTAGAGGTCAAGCTGTTCACGGCTGCAATGAAGAACAAGAGGTGCGTCTCTGCAATGGGGCAAGAGGCAAGGCTAAACACTCGGTCATTGCTTGCTCCAGCTGCGTCGACCTTCATCGCCTGATGGACAAGAATTCTCACGCCGAGGGTCAGGATCGCGTCCATGAGATCACGGAAAGACCCTCCGGCAGCAACATTGTACCTGAGGAGGCACGTGCCATCACAACCCTCATAGGAATCCCGGAATCAAAGTCAAAGCCGTGAGCTCAAGCTGCCCCAGAAGTTTACACCGGCGAGGATTGATAACACAAAGCTTGCAGCAGTTCCTGGGCTAGATGCTCCAGAGTGGTCTGGCAAATCTACTCGGTAAGCAAACATTACAAAGTCCCATCACTTTCGGACTCGGGGCGTAGGGCTTAGCCGTCGATCCTCAACCAGAAAGAACGCGAGTTCATGACGTCTGTTTACATCCACAGCTCTGACCATCTGACCCCCGGCTCTAAGCCCAGAAGTCTGTGGGATGATCTTGATATGGCGGCTCTGAAGTGGGGTTCTCGTTGAGATGCCACGCTGTACGCGCAAACTCAGAGCCCAGAGTCGACTCCGTAGACAGCCTAACACAAAGCCTAAACTCCAAATGCCACACCCCAAACACTCCCCGGCACCCCAACAACCGCCCCCCGCCCAAAAATCCGAGCTACGGATGATCCAGCGCCAAATCTGGCTCCACTCTGATAAGCTCCATGCCCGTGACGGCATAGATGTACATCAACAAGGTCACCTCTAGGAGAAAGGTGCTCAGACTCCGAAACCCCTGAACGATGTAGTAGCCTAAATTTATCAAAGAACGTTGCGCAAGTGTCAATAAGTAAGGGGGCTTTCGGGGCTCTGGGCTCAGATCCCACTAAGTCCATCCCCCTCCAAAGTGTAGACCTGAAACAAACTTCGAATCCGCGGAGCCGTAAGCCCGGAACAGCACCTAAACCCGAAACCTAGACTTCAAATCCCCAGAGGCCTGCAGCTCTTACTCTAGCCTTGATGGTGTTCATGGCGCAAACAACATCGGAGCGATGGAAATGTGCAGAGCATTTCGGAGGAATTTCATGAGCTCAACTTAACTACTTAAGGACTGTGAGGGGATATGGGAGTTTCATAACATAGGGGACCTCAATCTGAATACTCGCTCGGATGCTGACCGTATGGACCCCAAGATAATGTAGGCGAGTTTTCTGAAACTCCCTTGTTATTCTACATAATGTTTCAAGCAGACCACGAGCTACTCCTCGGAGCTTTAGGGGTCTGGGGGTTTGGGTTCAGCGCTTCACTACTTCGGGGTGTTTGGGGTCTTTCAGGGTTGCGGGGATTCAGGGGTTTTTGGTGGGCTTTGGGCTGTGTGGAGAAAGGGAAGACTCTGAAAACTGCGGGACCAGAAAGCCGAAGAACCCAAAATCTGGGTCCCAGGCTTTCCTCAACACTGTCCTCTAGTTACGGGAACGACTTTAGGGTTTGGGGTTTACGGTAGCCATTAGTAGTAAGTGGCAATAAATTGCGGGGTATTTTACATTGGCAGAAGCGACGCGATCAAGAAGGCTGCTCTCGGGCAGCCGTGGCAAACAAACCAATGACAGCACCCGCTACTTGTCAAATCCTTCATCCGGGAACCAGTATATGATGTCTTCCACGAAAAAGATGACGAACAAGAACGAACGGCCTCCAATTGAGGAAGTGAGTAGTTCAAGAGGGTCTAGAGTTTAGCGAGCCTTCAGGGCTCAAAGCCTTTGAAGGCCTCCGGGCTCGAGGTTTCGACTCTTTGCCTTAGAGCTTGGCGTTTTGAGCTTGTTTTCTCCTTTTGGCCGCCTCTCTGCTCAGGCCAAGTCACGAGGAGGAAGGTCCACATGATCGTGCCGATGCTGTGGAAGAGACCTTTGCGCCCCCAGAAAAACAAAGGAACCCGCTAGCCCACATGCCTATCAAGTCACAAGCCTGAATCACAAGCTTCCCAAAATCCCTATGCCCAACGCTCTTCGAGGCTCAAGACCTAGGCGTCAAGCGGCGTCTGGCCTCTTGCAGCCCGGGGGCCTTGAACCAACTGCCAAAGCGTCTGAAACTGCACCATGAGGCGCAAGGCCCTGAAACGCAGCTTGTGGCTCTTGGCTCGTGATGCGTCGGGGGTTGCGCTTTTGAGGTCTTGGGCTCTAGGGTGAGGGGTTTGGGGGCTTTCAGGGTGCTTCATGAACACGTGCCCACGCTGCCACAGAGCCAGAAATCCCACGACTCAAGCAAGATCCTGGTTTAACCTTGCTCGGAAAACTTGAAGGGGCCCCAGGGCCCCAAAGCACAAACGCCGATACTTCCAGGCCTGCATGCTACTAGATTTAGGGCTTCAAGCACTTAACCCTTCGCCCAAGCCCCTTACATGCCCTCAGCCCTCGAACAGAAGTCCAAATCCAACATAATCCTGAACCCAACCTTTAAACCCTAAGTCTCAAATTTCCTGGCCCGAGGTTGCAAGCCTCGCCAATCGCGCCAAACGCAGGAGTCTCACCTTTGTAGATTGGTTGCCTACATGGTCTGATTCGAAGAGAACCCATGTGGGCAATTGTGGGTTTTTTGACTCTGGAAGACTGAGGCAATCTCAAGCACCTACTGGCTTCCTGGTGTATGGGACACGTTCTTTATATTTGTCCCCATAATGGTAACTAACCTACAGGAAAGCCTTAAACCCTGAAGCAAGTTCCTGAGCACGAGCCCAGCGTAGCCCTGGACAGAACCTCAAGCCAGCAAAGACGGGGACCCACACCCTTGCAAGAACAATTTAAAGCCCCATACCCAACCACCCTTCTGAGGACAGAGAGATAGAGAGCGAGAGAGAGAGAGAGAGAGCAAAATAAAGACAAGAAGCACACACACACACACACACCACAAACAAAGGGATTCATGGTACATGTACAAAGTTTTTGCAGACTACCTGTGCTCTGGACGCCTTCAACACCCTTCAGCCTCTGAACAGGACTCTTAAACCCTTGCCTAACCTGAGGCTCGGGCTAGCATCACCTGCTTCAAAAACTCGCTCTTACTGACCAAGTTCACAACGATGTCGACTGTTGAGGCCTAGAGCGTGACGTGGAGTTTAGGGACGGAGGGAGCCGACTTCGTTTTGCATGCTTTCTCACGGATACAGGTTTGCAGAGAGTGCCAGTTCAGGTTCATGCGATCAACTGCTCAACAGCTTAAAGGTCTTTCGGCTCTTATGTCAAGGCAACTGGGATTCGAAGGGACCAAACAACTTCGAGCATCGGCATATATGGGTTCTACCCTGAATCCCAATCCGCAAATCCCACATCCAACAACGGCTCTGGGATTCAGGGCTTCGTTTTCAGGTATTGGTCTTGTGGCCAATGTGGTTCTTCTCTTAAGAATCAGCATCTGAGCATCTGAGCTGAACGCCCGGCTTAGTTTCTGCGTGGGATGTGTGGGATTTAGGGTGGTTCTAGTATTTATCGGTGTGGATTGTAGGATTTCCTGACTCCTGGCGCTGACAGCTCTGGAAAGTGGCTTCGGGCTGAAAAGATTGGCCTGAATAACGAGACCGGGTGTCGGGGCTTCTATGCTACACACAAACTTGGTAACGCTCAAATCACTAACTGTATAGGGGAGTTTCCCTTGAAGCTTTATTACAAGCAGCAGAAGCACTGACGCTGAAAAGAAATATGTTCTGGTCAAAGCGCCACACCAACAAAAGCCCGACACGTAAGCCCATGAGACCTAGGATCAAAAAGCGCAAAACCAACAACACAACAATCATGAACACGCGATCCTAGGACACTAAAGTGTTAAACATCCTACAGCCCAAAACCCGACAGCCCCAAAGCCCTAAACAAGCACCGCAGCTTTTGCTATCCAGGAGGCGGCTACGAGGAATGTGTCGAACTTGACCCTGGGAGACGTCTTTAATTCTACTGGGGTTTCGGGCTTGGGGCTGAAGGGTTGGGGCTACCAGGTTTTGTTGGGTTTGGTAGGGTTTTACAGGGATCCTACTGGGCATTTAAATTCAGGATTCTTCTAGGGTTTAGGTTTTTTTGGGAGCGACACTTCAAACATATCAGGGGCTTAACAAGTGGGTTTAGTAATTGGTCAGGCAAGTCTGGTCATACTTACGATGGCCTTACTTGCGCAACTTCCAAGTAAGCTTCAGGTCTTTTTTTGTACGGACCGGCTTCCATGTGGGTCGGCAGGGATGTATGTGGCCTTAAGAAGGGTTCCACGTGATTGTATATGGCTCCGGTTTTCATGCTCTTTCGGCCTTACATCCTGCTGCGGGGGCATCCAGGATTCAAAGGAGGGCTTCTTGACATTTAGGGTCTACTACGGCATCGCCTATTTTCCGCTGCTCCCACAACTACGGCGGAAGGTGTCTAGCGCACATGCATGATGCTGCTCAGTGCTAGTGGTAGCCAATCTACTCACAGACCGGTTTATCGGGTTTCACAACGCGGTAGCTCCCAGCCTTCACCGTTGGGAGTTCGAAGATCCCAGAATAAAGTCTCATCGCTGTGCTACAGATGCTACAACAGGTTATAGAGATCTAGAGAGCCTGTGACACGTGGCCTTGAGTGTGAGGCCTTTCTGGAGCACGCCGGTTTCGAGCAGGGTTTTCTGGGCCCTGGGGCTTCGAAGGATTCTAAGTCCTGAGTTCTTGTCGGCAATCGTAGGCGCATGACCGGTCATACTTGGGTCTCGTGGTGGCTCCAAAGACGGTTGTGGAGCCTTCCAGCTTCTTGTGAGGACCTCAACCATGGCGAAACTTCCGTAAACCCGAGCCCCAGACTCGCCATACCCCGACGAGGTGCCAATGGCTCTTGAGCACAAAGACCCCGTAGATCCCGAGACGTAGAACGAGCTCCGTCAAGTAGACGGCATAGAAGCCGTAGTCAGCCTCGGGATAAGATTTCGGCTTTACACATTCAAGGTCTGAGGCTTTAAGGGTTTAAGGTCTTAGGATTTGAGGGTCTAGAGTGTAGAGGTAGAGCTTGGGGTTGGGGTCGAGGGTTACAGTACAGTGCGCCAGGGTTGGATCTTCAGCATGAAGTCCGGATCTTTCGTTGAAGAAGGGTAGCCTGGATCCCTGAATGGTCGCCTTCCGAATTTTTAACGGTGCCCATGGCCGTAAGTAATATGCAGGTGTCAGGGATGGCAGGGTTGGGACCAGGGGTTCGGAAAGTTGCACGGCTTCTGACTGAGCAGATGGGATGCTGGGATTCCTGCTCCAAGGTTTGGGGATTGTTGACTTAGTGATTAGTGAGTTGAGGGTTGCAGTTTCTTTTTACCCGGGCAGCTGCGCGATTTGGAAAAATCCCCTGCGCATCTTGAAGGGCTGGAGTTGCAGGATGTTGTGTCTGGTTATATACTGGAACTAGAACTGTAAATAAGACCATTATGTCTTCACAAGAATGTCTTTTTCGTGCTTCTTCACATAAGGCCGACCCTGTCCGCATAGCAAAGCGCCAAGTGCAGGGCGGTGTTTCCGAATAGAGCTGAACACAAACCTTAAAATGGTGATTGCAGGTGACATGTTCCGATATAGCGAAACAATGCTTCGAACTGTTTCAGCCCCCAAAATACGATCCATATTGTAGCGACCCCTCAATTTCAGAAGCCCTCGCACTACGGTTCAGCAGCGACTGGGAAGTTTCTGTAGGCTTCCTCCATGCCATCGCAAGATCAAGAGAAGGGATGTCAACGTGGGTAGTTCTCTAAATTAGGCTCCCGTTCTAGGTCCCCAAAATAGTACCACCCTATAAACACGACCCTAAAGGATATCCTAATTTAGAGAACTACCCATGTGGTGAACTTGGCATTGGGCTCCCGGACCAGAGCCTCAAACCCTACTTAACCTGGAATGTAAAACTGTGCATAGCCTTTCTTTCAAGACTTCCATTTTCAAAAAAAATTTATTTGGCGCCCGTGAAGTCCCAGGTGACAATGCCAGGAGAGCATTCGAAAAAGCCTAAAGGCCTAACGAACCCCCAAACCCCGCAAGCTGCCCGCAAGACCAAGCGACCAGGAAGATCCAAAGAGGGATCTTGTTGCAAGTCAGCGTGGGGTCCAGCTGATTCTGGCCAAATCAAGGCTTGAGATGCACTTTGTGTCTGTTTCTAGTGCTCTCTGTCTTCATCCTTTCTCTCCACTTCGGGTCTTATGTCTGCTCTCAGGGACTGGCTCAGTGGATTGCTAGGGGGCTCTGAAGCCACCAACCAGAATAATGGTTTAGGCTGTTTAGGGTTTAGTGTTTAGGGCTAATAATCCTTCACGGCATAGGGTTCAAAATGCAGAACCCGGATAGGAAGGCCCTTCAGGAATCGGCGCTTGCTAATCACAACCGTTACTCCCTCGTAACTATGCCGGAAGTCCATGAAACCGCGAAGCCTTATCCGAAAACGCAAACTAAACTTAGCCACCCGACCCTTTTCCCTTTTTCAGCACCATACACGAGGTCAAAAGAAACCCAAACCCTAGACCCCAAGGTTGTGATACCTGTTCACTCCGAGGCCTCGCAGTCACAGTCGCCCGTGCAGCCCAACGGCATCTCTGCGCGAACTTGGGACTCAAAGCCGATGACGACCTTGAGTTCAAGGGGTCTAAGGGTTTAGGGGTTAGGGGGAAAGGTTTACTCAACATCCACAAAGGATTCTTGAAGTGTCTTGGGGTTCGTAAGGGCAAAAGTTTGACTCGGCGTGGCTCGGCGCATATCCATTATTATGGTATAACTGACTTTAGAAGAGGCCATAAGCAAGTTTCATTGCGAAGCAGACCTCTGCATTCGAAGGGTTCAAGGCGAGGGTCTTGTCTTCTTTGGGTTTTGAGGGCTCTGGGGTGTCTGCTCGGGTCTGCATGCATTTAGGGTTTAGGGATTGGTGGCCGTGGGGTTTCGGGTTTAGGCCTTGCAGGCTAAGGCTTTTTGCGGCTGTGGGAGTGCGACTAAAGTAGATAATCTTATCTGCGTAGTTGGCACTATGTTCTGTTAAATCATGTTTTTGGGGTGTATCACGGTACGATTCAATTGTACTAAGGATTTCGCTCAGGAAAACCCAGGTGCTGAGTTCGCGAGGATCACCACACCGATCAGCGTGTCAAAGCCCCACCAGGAGATCCAGCCTCTCTCTCCAAAGGGGCTTAGGGTTTAGGGGTAATTAGGGCTCAGCGTGCAAAAGGTCTCACTTGGGTACTGCCCTCATACAGCAACAGTGTATCATCAGGACTCATATCTACATGACAACAACTACTCAGCGGTTACGAAGGGGGGGGGGCAGTATCCAGCCTCTCTCTTCAATTAAGAGGGCCTTCAGCATCAGAATGGGGCTTTAAGGTATCCTTTTACCTGTAAGTGCCCCGTCAAAGGTTTCTAGAGGGGTTTCTTCTCAGGGTTTCGAAAAAATTGAGGGGCCTTCATGATTTGAATATGGTTTGGGGGTACAGTATACTAGAGTACAATTATGTCAGGATGATCAGGTTTAGCGGTTTACGTCTCTAACAACAGCGACCACAGCAATAGTACCAAACAGTAGCAAGTAAATTATGGTAGTCCTAACCTCCGAGATAAAACTAGTGGCCGTGCAAACTTCTTGTACGCATCACAGGTGTGGAACTTGTCTTGTCGATTTTGGTGTCCGTCTCTGGTTTATATTGAACCGATTGTTGGAGCTCCACACAATGCACTGCCGTGACATGAAAGATCGTCGTTGACACGGCAGCAGGACAAGAGCAGCAGTGCATCCCGTCCCTCTCTCTGCCACGCTCAGGATGTTGACGCCCCACTTGCCGCGGATAACTTATCCTCTCCAGCCATCACTAAACTGCGGTTGAGCTGCGATGCAAGACCTTGGACCGCAATCAGGTGAAGAGCAATGCTTGTTAAGGTTTGGAATCTGACTGAAGCGTCTAAGATCAGTGCCTCAAGTCGTCGTCTTAAAGAGCTCCATGCAGACATAGTTCTGGCCAATAACTTTCATTATAACCACTCTCCCCTCAACAACATCATTACGGAAAGTTAACAATGACCCTTCATCACCCTTTCACCATCATCATTGTCGCCAGAACCATGGTAACGTGGTGACATCTTGTTGCCACCACCAGCGAAGAGATAAGGTTGCAGCCATCCCGGTCCATGCGCAACAGTCGATGCTCGACACTGGACCATATGGACGTTGTACGCTTGGTCTTTCGGCAATGCTGAACTGACATTCAAATTCCAAGTGACTCAGAACAGTGAACATCTCTAGCCATTTCGGCTTAAGCAGCGGCCACTACACCTTCAGCCTTAGATCCTGAAGCCGCCGCGAAGCCTTGCATTGTGGAGACTCCACAGCGGCTCAGACTTTGCATGCAGTTTAGTTGGCCTCGCAGTCTATTGCTACTGCCGTTACAAGCTATTACTAGCACGATGGCTCCTACTTTTGCTATTGCTCTCGCTGTTGCTTATACCATCACTCTTACCATTACTGCTGCCGAGTTGCCAAGCGCTTCCCTGTAAAGGTGTTTGGATCCACCTTCAAGGCCTTGCTTGCAGTGGAGATCAGCCCTCAAAGCTGCCCGGAGGAAAAACAAAGCCCCAAACGGCCCTACACCCTTAAAGAAAGGCCTAAAGCCTTGAACCGAATCAATAGAACCCTTGAGCCCCTAACCAACTATCCTTCAACCAGTCTTTTCATACATGGAAGTTTCTGGGGGCAGGGAGCTCGACTGAGTTTCGGGCTTGCAGTGGTGTACGTTTTAGGACAGAAAGGCTCTTCTGGGTGTGTCGCATCATGGACTTGTGATCTAAGCTCCAGGGGTTTTGGTAGGGGTGTGGAGACCGCCGAGAAGTGAGCTTCAGAGAGCTTGGGTAGGAGGAGGTTTGGGTTCTGTTTTCTGGCTTCAGCTTGAGTTTTTAGAGCTTCAGAGTAGAGATGCAATCGGGCTCTGAGCACCTCGGTCGGGCACATGGATGCCTAGATAAAGACAGGTAGGGATCCATACATGCTCTCATTGCTCTCCTTATGAATAAGTATACTGTGTTCAGACTCTAAACCTTAAACTTACGGTGCATGCGGATGGAGCGAAAGAGAATCTCTGCCTCTCTCTCTCTCTCTCTCTTTCTCTCTCGATCGTCTGTATATATACACATGCATGCAAGCGTGCATTAATTTACGCATGTATCGGGCTATACGTAATGCATGATCCTATACGTGTCTGCTGTATGTGAAAACCAATACATACTTCCACGAACACTGACACTAACTAAATTAGTTTTGCAAATGAGGCGCCAAATACACAAACACTTTATGTACTCCTGCTGGCTACACATAAAGTGCATATTTACACAACACACCAATACATTTCAAAAGCAAACACGACTATCGATATGCGTAGACCAACAACCATACATGCAAGTGCACACTTACATACACACATTCTTTCATACATTACACACATACATGATTGCGTGCAGAACCTTCCTGCCTTCCTTCCTCGTGCGCACGCATGCACTCTGCCCGTGGGTTTAGGGTTTAGGGTACTTTTGCCCTACATTGGATTTGCACGTCGTTGCATTCCCCGACCCCGCGACATTGCAGTGCAGGGCGCTGCTTGGATTTCTGCGGCCTTCCCTCCAAAGCGCCTCAGCAGGGTACGCCCAGGACCGCAATCCCTGCAGGACGGCTCTCTGGAACTAAGCAGGTTTAGTGCTCCGAGGGCTTAGTCGAGGCTTGGCCTTCCGTGAGGGCGCAGTCAACTTGAAACCCTCTGAATCGAATTCCCGAGCTCCCATCATTGCCACTAACGCACTGGGCAGTTGGAGTCTTGGCACGCTAATGACGCTGATGCTTACTCGAACTCGTCTGCTTACAAGCGCAAGACCAGATACACCACAGAGCTCTATTGCGCAGGATGTGTCTCGATGCAAGCGGATGGCAAGTCGTAGTCCTGCGAAGGCCGCGGCTGGCGATTAACAGGCTGATGATGGAGTCAACATGCTGCTCATCATGGTGATGATGAGGATGACGATGATGATGAAGCTGCTCACGATGATGTTGATAATTATGATGGCGGTGAAGATGGTGATGATAACAGGGTATGACAATGACGGTGACAGCAAATATAAACGCACTAGTGAGGGTTAATTGGAGGACAGGGTGGTGGCCTTGGCTTTTGTTGGTGTGTTGGCTTTTTCCTTGGACGAGCTTGACTTGAGAACAAGATGACTTCGAGCCTCGTTCCTGAATCGACCTTGCAGACCGAAATGGACTCTGATGGTTCAGGGAGCTTGACTGGACAAGCAAATGCCCTAAACAAGAACGCACAATCCTCAGCCAAAACCAGAGCCTGATCAGCCTGATCATGACTGAATCCGATTGGAAAGCCATTTCATTAAACCCGAAGTCAGAAACGCCTCCGCTCCCCTAAATACCCCAACTCAGAAGCAGGCAAAGGTCCCGAATCAATTTCGAGATCTTGTCTCTGTACCGGACATTCTCTTCATAGACTTCCTGGCATCAAGTTCCAACTCCATGTCTCTCACGTTGTTTGAGATTATCAGCTTCTGAGGAACGGACGCCGCCTTGACATGCATATCTCCCTCCCGGTTGCGACGTAGTTTCCCACATCGGGCATGGCGGTCGTTCACGTGCATTGTAATCAAGAGTCAAGATGAGCCCTCCGGTATTCCCATGGCCCATGGCTTTTATGAAGAACAGCCCGAGGCGGACAGCTCAGCACACAACATCGATCCAGGAGTACTCATGTTATATTTGGGATCACGTCTTCGACCAGCGGTGAATACTTTCGGACACAACTAATGAAAACAACGGCCCGAATTTCTGCAGTAAATGTTGCGAAGCCTACCTTTACGGATCAAGCCGGCCGGTTTTCGGGTGTGCATCGTTGGCGAGGTGTGAATGCTTCCGGGCCCTGGGGCTTTTGGAGTTCAGTATTTTCTGTGCTGCGGCTGCCGGAGTGGGGGGCTGCAAAAGACCTCTACAGGATCATGCCACTAAATCCCAAACCAGCCAAGTATTGGCCCGGCCTTGAGCACATGCGTATCGCTGACCACTGCAACGTGGTGAGGTCCCTCGTCCTCCTAGCGACCGTTTCTGGTTTAGGTTTCAAGGGTCTAGGGCTTACCGCTTGGACGCTCTCGTTTTTTCAAAAGTGCAAATCGGCTCTCATAAGGTTTTGTTAGGCTTTATCGGGACTTTACAAGGCTCCAGACAGGGTCTGCAAGGCTTCAGGGTAGGCCTTGGGAAGGGTTCTTCAGCGGAGTGCTTCGCTTGCCTCGAAGACACTGATGTGACAATGCGGCTGCTTTGCTTAGAAATAATATACATTAAGGTAGGGTAGGACAAGCTTAACGCAAAGCGTGCCACCCGTCTAAGATGCATGGCTTCGCTACGATTTGGCTTCCGGATTCGCAACCATACAGTGCGTCCGGAGAATCATGCTTGTTTGACTTTTTCCTATTGACCTCTTTGCGATGAACAAGTGAGTTGTGTCTGAAGACGACAGCAGCATGTATCAGCGACAAAGAGGCGAGGACGAGGAAGACAACAGCAGCATCTCCACTGAATCTTGATTGAACCTTGAAGCCCGAACAAAGCCAAAGCAATCCTGAAACCACCTGAGTGTGAAAGCCCTCAACCCCGAACGCCCAAGCCCGAAACCCGCTTTAAAACCTCAACCTCACAGAACCATCCCCACAAAAAACCCGAAATCTAAGCCCCAATGGGCGTCCTCTCCGGAGCCATGGTCCGGATGGTGCGGAACGTTGGGCATGTCGCGCTCCTGTACGACCAGGCCAGGAAGGCTTGTGGGTAGAACCTGAAATAACTTCAATGACATTAGAGGAGTTCGATTCGGGCTCCGTACGGATGCTGCAAGGGTTCTATATGGGTTTAGAGGGCTTGGGTCAATCCGAATGGTCAGAGCTTAAGGTTTCGGGTTGAAGGCTCTAGGGCTTGAGGGTTTAGGGTGAAATTATCGTTTCTAGCTCACTCTCACACAAACACTCAAAGCCATCTTGCTCTTAACTGCTATGAGCCCTAAACCTTAAACTTTACAGCCCTAAACTCGATGAGCTCAACTGGGAACCAAGTGTCTGGGGCACAAATCCGCCGCACTCTGTCAACCCTCCACCCGTCCGCCCCTAAGCCCTAAACTGCGAAAACCACTGCCAAACATCACCCTAACACACTCGAACCCCTAAACCCCTAAACCGAAAACCACGAAAACAGGCCCCTTGCCAGATCTAAACCAAAAGCACAAGCTGCGTGAGTGTTTACCAAGACAATTTGGGGGGTTCCTCATGATAACTTTACTACATTCTACCTTAAAGCAGACTCTAAGAGGGTAAAAGGCACAAGTGGCAATCCCCCTCTCAAAACAGCCCAAAGAAGGACTTGACCCAAGCCTAGACCCTGAACCCCTAGACCCTGAACCCTAAACCCCTAAAGTGAAGCTGAGCTGCATCTGGCTCGTCCCATCCATCTCTGCCCTGCATGCCCTGTCGCGCTTGCGTCGGCTTTGGCAAGGTTGGATAAAGGTCTTGGACTATAAAACAAATATATATATATATACAAAACCCACATACATATTTATACATATAGTATAATTTGTATAGCATTAAGGGTTAACGCCGACTGAAGGGCTTTGGGTTTAAAGCTTAGGATTCAGAGTTCTGGGGTTGAGGGTTTCAGGCTGTGGCGGTTTGGGCTAAGGGCTTCGGAGCTTTGGGTTTGCAGGCATGCTTGAGTTTTTGGAGGGGGTGCTAAATGAATGAAGATCGTGAATGGAGAGGATTCAACAACCAGGAACAGGTGCCAGACAAGAAAAGCAGAGAGCCCTAGCATTACATCGAGCATCCCCGGAAATCGCGTCCCGACCCTCACTGCAGCCTGGAGGCAAATAAACATGAAGGACGTAATATAGGGGCCTAAGTAATTACCTATACTATTTTGGGGGCTCCTTAGTATAATTAATGATAGTATAACGGGACCCGAAATCCCATTCTAATTATTATGGCCCCTATATTAAGTCCCTCTTATTGCACATTTCCGTGTACCCCGAAGCCCTTTAACCCCAGAGCTGCAGGACCAGACTCTGAGCCCCGAGCCCCCTCAAAGGTAGGGGCCAACAAGTACAGTAAGGAACCCCCAAAGTGGTATCGGCAATTATTTCGGCCCCTATATACATTGTAGAGATCCAATGCGGAACTCCGCTCCCTGGCCTCCCCGGCGTCGCGCCGAGCCAGCAGAGAGAGGTGAGGGAAGAAAACAGCTGCAGGAAGGGGAGGGAGAGTGAAAGGGGCGTCGGGTAATGTAGGAACCTGATTAAGAAACCATGGCCCTACAACCCGAGTATATTCGGATGCATTTCAAGAACCCCCAGGAAGACCTAAGGTTTCTTAATCGGGTTCCTATATTATGAAGCTGTGGGCTTGGGGTTGTGAGTTTGGCTCGCGCTCCAGGTCTAAGGCATCTCATGGTCATGTTCATGCCCTCTGAGCTCTCATAAACCGAATAACTCCGTCCTAAAACCAAAACCCGATGCCCTACAAGCCAAGAATCATAGCACCACTTGAGTGCATATAGGGGTAGAGGGGGTTTACTTGTACCAATTCTTCAGGAGTACAGCCCAGACTATATCTTTGAAGAAAGCCTCGGGCTGACCCGGGGTATGATTCAAGGCCCAGAAAGCGTAAGCCTCCCAAGCCAGATTTTCGAGCTTCAGATTCAGCACCGCAACCCCTTCGCAATTCCGAGCTGCGCCGTTGATGCCCAGGAAGCCGAAGCACTCGCCCTTTCGCCACGACAACCACGCCAACCATCTAAATTGCTGCTCCCTCTCCACTGCCGCTACCACTACAGCTAACTCCGCGACCGATGCAGCTGCTACTGCTGCTGCTGCTGCGACGACGACGACGACGACGACCACGACGACGACGACTACTACCACGCTGCCGCCGCCGACACGACGGCAACGACGTCGGTACCGTCATTGTCGCTGTGCTGGTAGCAGTACTAATCGTAGCAGCAAGAAGTTGCTAATTACCTTAGTGCTCCGGCGTTCGAGAGGCAGGAGGACTTCTCTGCAGAGTCGAAAAGCGGTTTCGATGGGCTCGAAGGATTGGACGGGAGCCTACAGCGATCCCGAAGCGAACCGCGCGACTTTTCGAAAACACCAGCCCACCCCTATACAACCCTGAGCCCTAGACCCTTTGTTCTGCGGAAGCTTTAAGCCCAGCTGAAACCTAAACATCAGCGACCCTCATGCTGAAAGTCGCGCCACCAAGCTGTAAGCCCAAACGCTAAAGTGGGATGTCCCTTACCAACCAGAACTACGAAGCCGTATCTCCCGACCTTATAGCCATGAGACCTAAGATCTTCGATACTAGTCGCCACACCTCTACAATGCACGTCAAGGCTGATCCCCGGCACACCGATGCTTTATCACTTCACTTCAGGGTTGAGTCCATCGTGCCTTCGGCAGCCCAAAGCTCAAAGAGTGGACGGCAACCTTCGATTCAGCAACGGAATTTGGGCCGGGGATTGCTTTCTGGCTTCTGGTCTAAGATTGAAGCTTGCGAGCTCCGGGCCCCGCATGTGCTAGTGTACAACGGGACTATATAGGGATCTAATTGCGATCCCTATGTTGCAAGCAGGGGTTGACGGCTGTGGAAGATGATGTTGCGGAGAAACGTCGAAACCCCAATCTTCACGAAGACCCCACCCACATCCCACAGCAGAAAACTATCATCTGATCAAGCAGACGGGCCTTCGGGTGGCCTTCCGGTGTGCGGTAGACCTTGCAGTGAAGGTAGGCACTGTAGTTTCTAAGTACTTGGTGTGTGAGGATGCAAGCTTTGGGTTGTGGTGCCAGCTGTGCTGACAAAAGTAGTCAGGGCCTCATCATGTTCTTCTGCAGCTACCGAGCTCCCGCTCCTCCACTCTAGTGTGTCCGAGAGTGAAATGTCGATCTCGAAGCATTTCTAAGTGGGTGCATCTCGAGCGGGAGCAGGAGCAGGAGGATTGCTACTGTTCCACTTGCGTTGGATACATCTGGTGAGCCTAGTGAATCTGGTGTTGCTGCTGCGTCACGTAAACCCTCATGAACCATCCCGGCCTTCCGCAGTTTCAACAGACGGACGACGTCCGCGTCGCTCTCCGACACCCTCCGGCGCTCGCGGGCGACGTCCTCATCCTCGAAAGATGGGTCTTAGAGGCTTGTCCTTGATTGTTGTTGTAACTTCTATGATTTCGACGTTGCCAACGCACAAGTGGCGCTCAATAAAGGAGCCACAGCGATGAGTAGACAGCACTCATAGCCATGATCCTCACAATCTTTTTGGTTTATGTCAAGCTAAGGTTTCGCAAAGTTCCGAGCATGTCCGGTCGAACTACAGCCTTATCCTCTAAAATTGTCAACACCCGTCTTGCGTCAGGACACTTCTGAAGCCATCGACTCAGAATGCAGAAGCCCCTTTATCCTCTACACTTAAATCTTAAGACTTAAAGTAAATCCCCACCCACAGCCCCAAAATGCCTAAGCTTCCCTCTCTGCTGACTTCTTGGCCTCTTCGGTGGGCACTTCACCTCCTGTGGGATCGAGGTGACCTCGGCTTCCACGCAGCTCAGGTGAAAACCACACGAAGACCGGCTAGGGCTACGTGGAGGTCCGTCAAGTAAAGAATCCTAAACATCCTCATCCCGAAAATCAGCTCTTTAGATGCGGGTCCAACTGATTTTTGGAATCCAACTTTGCTTGGCTCTCAGCTTCGGGTTTTGGACTTTAAAGGTTCTGCGCAGATCTTCAGGGTATGTTTGGTTCAGGACTTTCGGGTCTAGGTTTCAAGGGTTACTCGAAACGCACGAGACACAAGCTTGCAGCCAAACCCCCTTCAACGACAGTCGCTGATCTAGGAGCCCAAATGGTTAGGAATATTTTGCCTGGTATGGTATCGGAACCCGTCATCCCCATGATAGTTATTCGATGTTAATCGAAACTACCTTGGCAGCTTAAACTCCAAGTTGGTATGGTCGCAGCAAAGATGTAGGGGTTCCCTCACATTATAAGGACCCCAAATAAGGTACCGCTAATTTTCGGAAACTCCCATTTCTGAAAAGAATCGGAAGTCATCTAAACCCGACCCTGGACTCCCAGCACCGAGCTGAAGGCTGACTCCAGGGACTGACTCGGGGCTCGCTCAGTAGCTCGAGGCCGAGGCTTCAGGGTTTCCAGGCTCGGGGCTTCGTCGGAGCTTCCGAAACGAAGGACCGTCATATATATATATATATATGTATATGTATGTATATGTATCTCTATAGAACTCTGGATTGAAAATGCAGGGGTCCGATATATAAGGCTCCACTAAAGCATGAGATACTGGTACCTGCAAGAAGAACCCTCCCCGCCACCCGCCCCCACTGCTGGGGCTTTCAAGCGAGGAGCGCGAGTAGGCCGCCAAGGGCGAGTGCGCCACCACATCCACGAGCCTTGAGCTTAAAGCCAGCTTCGAGGGTTTAGGGTGTAGGGCATGCAGGACTTTGGACCAGGCTTCCACCAACTTATTCGCGATTCCGGGTGCCGGGTTTAGGGTAGGTTCGTGTCATGAAGCCAGGCGTGGGTTCAGACTCCCTCAGAAAGCCACCAGGGTGCTGCAGCGGAAGCCCCAAGAACTAGATCCGATGTCCGGCATCTTCCATACTCTAACTTTTCAGGGAGCCCCATCCAGCCTAGGCGATAGTGTCGGAGGTGTTACTCTACATCAAGGCTCCGTCTGCAAGTCGCAAGCGCAAGCTACAAGGAGACAGTATTTCTAAGCATTCCGACACCTTTATTATGAGGGTCTGTTGACATGGCTGGAGTGGCAGCTCTTCGCAGCCAGGGGGGGCTGGGGTCCTAACATTTGGGGTGCAGAAGTCGGACCCCGGACCCGGCGACCACGGTTCTGGGGCTTCGGGTCTGGAGCTAGGGGTTAAGGGTTGAGGGCTGAGGGTTTGCAGTGCTTTCAGTGCTGAGGGCTTCGGGTTTACGTCTCAAGGCTTTGCACTTTGTTAGGGTTCGGGGGTCTCTTGGCTTAGACCCCAGCACTGCCAAAGTGAAGTAGATCGGGGCGAGGAGGTACCTTCAAGCAGGGCTCTGCCGCCGACCCCCCAGGCCCAGACTGAGCTTTCCGGCTTCAAAACTTTGGGGCGCTCAGGGCTAAACTTTGAAGCCTCAAACTTCAGTCTTCAATCCCGGAGATGGGCTGCAAGCTGTGGGCTTCCATTTGCAGGGACCTGGGATGTTTTAGTATAGGGGCCTTAAGAAACTAAGGTTTGGGGGCCCGTTTTACTATAATTATGGTTAATAAGGAGACACCAAAATAGTGTGGGTAATTGTTAAGGCCCCTGTTTTAAGGTGTTTTGGTTTGTTGCCGGGTTTGGGCTTTCCCTGGGCACAGGAAAAGCGCATCCTTGCCAGCCACGCCCCAGCCCAAGAGGTGGATATCCTCGCGCTGGACATTACAGTGATTACAGAATGTGGCTTGGGGATCTGGTCCAGGGTTCCCAAACACTAAACCCTCAACCCCCCGAACCGGCTGGCACGCCTTGAGATACACCAGGGTTCACGAATCCCTCATGCCTTAGCGCAACCCACGTCCGAGTCAACTTGGTACGGTTCTGGAGCATGACTAGCTGCACCAAAATCTCACGCGGAGTATCTATGAGTCTATGAGCAGTTTTTGGGAATGGCCATGGAATCCCTGTTTGGATGGAATGGCCTAGGCTCGGGGCATCATTAGCTGAGGCTTCGCCGGGTCACGAACTCACCCCATCCCCATCCTCATCAAACATACAAGTAACTCGAAGTCCGAAAGCCCCGAACTCCTCAAAGGCCCAAACTCAGCCAACAATGCTAAATCCACAAACCTACCCTGTCACGAAATGCCTGCACTCCCAACTGCTGGGAGATGACCGAGTTGGTGCAAATCCTTGGCCATGGCCACTGTTCTGAGGCTCTTGCTTCGGGCGCTGACCTACGCCCGTCGAGCCACGCGTCATTTAAGTTGAACCCCATGAACTCTTTAAGCCTGTGCAACTCTACTCCGAAAATCCTGAAACGCCCCGCCCCCACAAAGCCGCAAACATCCGGGTCTCTAACCAGGTCGCTAGATTTCTTTTCCGGTTTGGGTGCAGGGTTTAGGGGGTGCAGGGCTTGATGAGTATCGTTGGTATTAGCATAGTCGCAGGTCGGTGTGAATCTGATTGCAGGTCTGCTTGTCCGGCTTGAGGGTTTAGGGTTTTGGGTTTGGGGTTTTTCCCTTCTACTTAGCAAGCATTTACGCTCTCGCAACAAGGTCTCTGTGTCCAACTACGCTCGACAAGTCTGTTCTACTCAGCAATCACTTCTACACCACGGAAGACCAATTCAACACAGACGTCTAAGACGTAAACCGACAGTTATTTTTTGCTATGCCTGGAGACGTATGTCTTTGCCAGCATCGAAGTCCGCATGCATTCCTATGGAATGGACTGCAGATGATGATTTAAGAGTGAATAAAACAAACACTTTTAA